TACCCACCCACCCACCTCCACACACAAAAGAACCCCATCACACTGTTAAAAATTATTAAAGACCCCCACAGAGGTAATGTGAGTTCCTTCCTTCCTTCCTTCCTTTTTCTTTTTCTTTCTTTCTTTCACAAATTATTGCTATATTGCTATATTGAGTAGTACAATAAGCAAACAAAAACTTAGAAATCAAACAAAAACTTAGAAATATGTACATACACACACAAAAAAAACTTTTCAGATTAGTATTTAGTAGAAAAGTTATTGAAATAAATAAGCCTGTCACTACAAGGAAAACAATGTACATTGTTGCTAATGACAAAAATGTAACTTTTAGGGCTGGGAAGGTGGCTCAGTGGTAGAGTGCTTGCCTTGCATGCATGAGGCCCTGGGTTCGATTCCTTAGCACCACATAAGCAAAAAAGAAAAAAACCCAGAAGTGGCGCTATGGCTCAAGTGATAGAGTGCTAGCCTTGAGCTGGAGAGCTGAGGGACAGCGCCCAGGCCCAGAGTTCAGGCCCCACGACCAGACCCAAAAACAAAACAAAACAAAAAACAAAAAAAAATGCAACTTTTAGAAAAAATAGTCTTTTTCAAAACTTGCATCTACTTTCCCTTATCTACTTTCCCCATATTTTATTTATTTATTTATTTTTGTCGGTCATGGGACTTGAACTCTTGGCCTGGGTGCTGTCCCTCAGCTCTTCAGCTCAAGGCGAGCGCTCTACCACTTGAGCTACAGCGCCACTTCTGGTTTTCTGGTGGCTTTTATTGGAGATAGGAGTCTCACGGTCTCTCCTGCCTGGGCTGGCTTTGAACTGTGATCCTCAGATCTCAGTCTCCTAAGTAGCTAGGATTACAGGTATGAGCCACCAGCGCCCGGCTCCCCATATTTTAAAATCACTTCTGTTATTTGTTTTTTTTCTCTGCCAGTCCTAGAGCTTGAACTCATGGCCTGGGCACTGTTCCTGAGCTTTTTTGTTCAAGGCTAGTGCTCTACCACACAGCTCTACTCTTAGCCTTTTTGGTGCTTGATTGAAGATAAGGGTCTCATGGACTTTCCTGCCAGGCCTGGGTTTGAACCATGATCTTCAGATCTCAGCCTCCTGAGTAGCTAGGATTACAGAGGTTAGCCACCAACTCCCAGCTATTTATCCCTCTTTTTACTCAGGTTTTCTCTGTCTTGTTCAGTATGGCTAGGAACTGGGCCCAAACTAAAATGCAGATTTACTTTTGCCAATTCATATCCACTTCTCAGAGGAGACAGATTCCCAGAATTCTCTGTCATGTTGTAGCCCAGGGATGTGGCTTTTTTATATCGTAGCTAAGGAAACCTTTATTTTGTGTGTCTGTGACAAGTTTCTGGATATCAGCCACAATAATGCCATTATTTTCTAGGCGGAAGACAGGCAGAGGGAGGAACAGCTCGTCTCATTTGACAGGTAAAGAATATTTTACTTAATCTACTGGATAGTTGATGGAAGACTGTATCTGTCTGGTTGGTTGAGTGATTGATTGATTGATACCCAGTAGTGGGTATAATGCTGGGGCTTGCTTGCTCTGGTTATTGCTCTACCACTTGAACCACCACACCTCTAGTCTGACTTTATGCTGGTTAATTAGAGATACATTCTCACAGAGTTTTCTTTTTTCTTTATTTGCCAGCCATGGGACTTGAACTCAGGGCCTAAGCACTGTCTTGAGCACTTTCACTCAAGACTAGCCCTCTACCACTTTGAGCCACAGCACCACTTCTGGCTTTTTTTGTTTATGTGGTACTGAAGAATTGAACCTAGGGCTTCATGCACACTAGGCAAGCACTATACCACTAAGCCACATTCCCAGCCCCTCTCACAAGACTTTTCTACTCAAGCTGGCTTTGAGCCACAATCTCTTAGTTTCCCTATTCCTAAGTAGCTAGTATTACATGGGTGAGCCACAGTATCCAGCTTTATATTGATTTATTGTGTTTAAAAAAAAATCAAAAGCTGGGTGCCAGTGCCTCATACCTGTAATCCTAGCTACTCAGGAGGTTGAGATCTGAGGATCATGATTCAAAGCCAGCCCTGGCAGCAAAGTCTGTGAGGTTTGTATCTCCAGTTACCCACCAGAAAACCAGAAGTGGTGCTGTGGCTCCAAGTGGTAGAGCACTAGCCTTGAGCAAACAAGCTTAGGGACAGTGCCCAGGCCCTGAGTTTAAGCCCCATGACTGGAAAAATAAAATCAATCATTAGATAATAAAGAGGACAAAATAAAGGAGAACCTGGGATAGGTAGTTTATTATTATTAAAATAAAATTAAAAAGTTATAGCCATAGCTGGACACCAGGAGCTCATACCTATAATTAAGTCATGAGACTCATCTCCATTTAACCACCAAAAAGCCAGAAGTAGAGCTATGGCTCAAGTGGTAGAGGACCAGCCCTGAGAGAAAAAGTACAGAAATGGCACCTTGAATCTGAGTTCAAGCTCAAGGATTGGTGTGTGCGAGCCCGCACGCGCGCGCGCACACACACACACACACACAGCTTTTTTAAGATCTTTCAACCATGAAAGGATTTAAAAAAAATTTTTTTTTTTGGTCAGTCTTGGGGCTTAAACTCTGGGCCTGGGCACTTGTCCCTCAGCTCTTCTGCTCAAGGCAAGCACTCTACCATTTGAGCCACAGCACCACTTCCAGTTTTCATTGGAGGTAAGAGTCTCACAGACTTTTCTGTCTGGGCTGATTTTGAACTGTGATCCTCAGTTCTCAGCCTCCTGAGTAGCTAGGATTATAGGCATGAGCCACAGCACCCAGCTGAAGGGATTATTTTCAACATGAATTAAAAAAAATATAACAATCTCCTGATATCTCTGTGTGGGGAGAATTCTTCACTCACAGAAATAAGTACAAAGCCTGGCACCGGTGGCTCATGCCTGTAATCCTAGCTACTTAGGGGGCTGAGATCTGAGGATCTCGGTTCAAAGCCAGCCTGGGCAGAAAAGTCCCTGAAACTCTAATCTCCAGTAAACCACCAGAAAACCGAAAGTGGCACTGTGGCTCAAGTGGTAGAGCGCTAGCTTTGAGTCGAAGAGCTGAGGGACAGCACCCAGGCCCAGAGTTCAAGCCCTATGACACCCCCTAAAAAACAAACAAACAAAAAAGGAATAAGTACAAATCCACAAATCTATTGATTAGAAGGTCTCAGTCATCTTAGGTCTAATTGAAATTTAAGTTATTCAACATGTTGGAGTCTGTTTACTTACCTTAAAAATACGGTAAATATAGCCTTCTGGAAATATTAAGAAGAAATTTTCTAAGCTAATCTCTTTATTATTATTTCAGGTATTTCATTAATAAAATGCTAACATGCTTTAATCACATTTAAATAAGTTTTTAAATATGAGGATCTGATCTTAGCTCATCATTAAAACTCAGGTTGTGAAAGATTCCAGGTTGAGGAATTCCTTGTCCAAAATGTCAAAACTCATCTCATTTTTTACAGTATTAAAATGGTCTACCAGGGCTGGGAAGGTGGCTTAGTGTTAGAGCGCTTGCCTTGCACGCTTGAGACCCTGGGTTCGATTCCTCAGCACCACATAAGCAGAAAAAAAAAGCCGGAAGTGGCGCTGTGGCTCCAGTGGTAAAGTGCTAGCCTTGACCTGGAGTTGAGGGACAGTGCCCAGGCCCAGAGTTCAGGCCTCACGACTGGACCAAAAAACAAACAAACAAACAAAAAAACTTCTATCATAAGCCAGGCATTGGTGGCTCAAGCCTGTAATCCCAGATACTCAAGAGGCTGAGACCTGAGGTCACAGTTCAAAGCCAGCCTGGGCAGGAATGTCTATGAGACTCTTATCTCCAATTAACCACCAGAAAACCAGAAGTAGCGATGTGGCTCAAGTGGTAGAGTGCTCATCTTGAGCTGAATTGCTCAGGGACAGCGCCCAGCTCCAGAGTTCAAGACCCACCACCGACAAAAATAATAATAATGGGCTGGGAAAGTGGCTCAGTGGTAGTGCGCTTGCCTTGCATGCATGAGGCCCTTAGCACCACATAAGTAGAAAAAAAGAGCCGGAAGTGGCGTTGTGGCTCAAGTGGTAGAGCGTTAGCCTTGAGCTGAAGAGCTGAGGGACAGTGCCCAGGCCCAGAGTTCAGGCCCACGACCGGACCCCTCCCCCCCCCAAAAAATAATAATGGTCTATCATAGATATGTATTCATACACGTACTCCTTCCCTACATCACTGAGCACCTCAAAGGCCTGGAGGGCTCCGTCTTACTCAGTTAGCACAGGGAAGTTACCTAGCCTGCTGTTGCACAAGGCAGCAATACACTTTGCCTTGGGAGAGTGGGCCAGAGAAACTCACTGAGTTCAGTCAAACCTGTGGCTACTTTCCTTGCCTAAGAATCTTAGCACAATTACAGAGTGAACTCCTAAGTGGTAAGAGCCGAGAGTCCCATTTTCCTTAAGTCTGCTTCGTCGCACTTTTTCCCATGGAGGCTGAGACTTGTTTTCTTTGCTTTGTCAGCTCTTTGCCAGTGGCTTGGAAAATGTGCTGCTCAGGGCCATTGTAGTGAAAGCAGACTTAGAGCCCTGGTAATGTCCTTGCTTCAGTTCCACTGGCAGCAGAGATATAGATATGTTTCCCCACACCTTAGAGAGGAGGAATCAACTGGAGTTCTTGTCTCCTTGCAGCCATGAGGACTGGAACCAGATGCAGAGCCAGGAAGACGAAGCAGCCATCACTGAACAGGATCTGGAACTTATTAAAGAGAGGGAAACAGCGATCCGGCAGCTGGAGGTAAGAGCTAGGTCATGTCTTTCATTGACTCAGTGGGCCTGAAGGTATCTGAGCTGTCTAGCCTGAATTTTCCCTGGATTATTATGAAAAAGCATGAAATGAGGCATTGTGTAGTTTGCGGATTGTCTCAATTTAGTCATGGCAAAATGGAACTATTTCTATGGTAGTATTAGCCTTGGCTCCCAGAACTATCCAAATCCTTTCCTCACACACCAATTCTTTTTTTTTTTTTCCAGTCCTGGGGTTTGACTGGGCCTGGGGTACTGTTCTTGAACTTCTTTTGCTCAAGGCTAGCACTCTACCACTTGAGCCGTAATGCCACTAGCGCCACTTCTGGCTTCTTCTATGTATTACTGGGAAATTGAACCCAGTGCTTCATGCATGCTAGGCAAGCACTCTACCACTAAGCCATATTCCCAACCCATCACATACCAATCCTTATTTGGCCATCTTGGGAAATATGCATGGAAAACAGCAAAACAAATATTATATTGCTTTTTAGGATTTTTTTTTGGGTTGGTTGTGGGCCTGGTCACTGTCCCTGAGCTCTTAAGATCAAAGCTCGTGCTCTAACACTTTGAGCCACTGCTCTACTTCCAGTTTTCTGGTGGCTTATTAAAGATAAGAGTCTCATGGCTGGGGCTGGGAAGGTGGCTCAGTGGTAGAGCGCTTGCCTTGCATGCCTGAGGTCCTGGGTTCAATTCCTCAGTACCAATTAAGCAAAAAGAAAAAAAAAAGCCAAAGTGGCACTGTGGCTCAAGTGGTAGAGTGCTAGCCTTGAGCTGAAGAGCTGAGGGACAG